ATATTTATTTTGGCACAAACTCTAATTTTTGTACATGAGGTTTAGTAAAAAGTCTGAAGTACAACTTGAACTTTGATAAGTTTAGAAAATATTCTTTAGGTTTTGATCTGATCACTAACTCTATTAACAATTTAATAGAAGGGTACTCGTGCAATGCAGCGAGATACATCTCGATTTTTATGTTTAATTCTATTTTTTACCTCTGTCGATGTTGTAATACGATTTTATRTGTTTTTAAGAAAACAATAATAATTTTATTTTTGAATAAAATATAAATTTGAAGATATCATAAAAATTTGAAAAAAAAAATATTCTTGTTAATATCAAATCAACTATTTAAAACTTTTCATTTTTTTGTAATTTCTTTAATTTATTTTCTTATTATAATTTAGTTTAAGTTTAATATTGAAATAATTTATTTTTTGTTTAATAATACATCATTTTATAAAAACAATAATTAAGTATTCTGTTAGAACTCAATGATTATCTTAATTATATTTTAGTTTTTTTATATTTAAGATGAGATGTTTATCTGAAGTTAGTTACACRAATTCAGATATGGAGCTTTAATAAATTGTACTTACACACAATCTACTTGTAATCTTGAGTTTTAAGTAATATGCATTAATAAACAGTATTTTACGCATAAAAAATACTTTTATAAGAATTTTTGTCAAATGCTTTATAATATAGTATATATATTAGATTTAGGGGTATCTTAGTCTTTTTAGCCTTTTTACTAATTTTCTTTTGAAAAATTAAACAAAATACAATATTATATATATTTATATATTATAAGATTAAAAATATCTCATATATTATATGCACAYACATCGTCCCAAACCATCCTCCTTCTCGGATTTCGTCCTTGACCATCATCTTCTCCGGTCATCGTTTCTGATATGCGAAACTAATGAAATCATTAGAGTCGATCTTAGAAACAATGAAGAAATTGTTTCTAAGATGTAATCTTGAGACCAGGTGCAACTGAGCTAGCCATCACAATCTATTCATCTTCATCAAAAACCCACCATAACCACCTCCTCCGGATTCAGAACAAAACCGAACCCAGTTTATGGTTCTTTTTTCCCATCTCCAAAATCYGGATTCATAACCAAAACCAAACCCAGAAACAAAATCTACTCCTTCGTAGTGTCTGTTGCAAAAATCAAACATACATATGTGCGAAACAAATCGCTTAAGGAGAGGGTGGGCGACGATGGTACTTGATCGGATTAGAGAGTGTTKGGATTTGTTTTTGTTTTTTGGTATCATCGGCCTGGGAGGAAGACGATGACCAACAAGGGGAGGTYTCTGATGGTGAGAGCCTCATCGTCGTTCTCCATTTGTTTTTGTCGTTCAACGACAAAAATAAAATACATAATATCAAATAATAATATTTTATGTTATTTAAAGAAATAAAGATTTTGATCGAAAGATAGAAATGCCTCTTCACAACGGAGAAAGCAAACAAAGTTAGTGATCAAAGACCATTTTTTAAAAAACAATGTGAACCACAAGGATGCTTTTTACACTTGTCAAAATTCAAGCTATTTTCAAACTATTTACTAAACTTCAGGGAGCAAAATTAGAATTTACTCAGTTTTTTAATACGGTGACTCCGGATTATCTACAAAACATGTGGTTGTTTTGGAATTAGTTGGCTCGTATATCGGGTTGAATATCTAGGTTAATAAAAAAAAAGTTTTGACAATTTTATAATATATTTTTATTTCTTTTGTAAAGCAGCAAGAAATTTTATTAAAATATCAAAAAAAAAAAAAAAACAAGAGAGGATCAATATTCTCTGTGAGAAACAGAAAACAACCCAAGACACCAAAAAACAAAACCAAGAATAACAAAACGTCAAGAGGCCAAACAAAGCAATACCGAAAGGCAAAAAAGATCCAACAAAACCCACGTCCAGAGAACGAACTAGACCCGCTACGTCAATCCGACCATGCCAAGTTGAAGCCTTCGGCATGTTTGGAGATCCATTGGACTGGAAGAATCTGCGCCATGAAAAACCGATCAAGCTGTCCATTATGTCTGTCTAAAATGACTCGATTATTTTGATGCTTTCAAATTAAATAAACAGTGATCCACAATACCGATCTCAAAAGATGACAAGCTTATTAAAACGCTATGTGCAATGGCGGACCCAAATAATTTCTTGAGCGGGTGCACGTTTTAGGTGGATCAAACTCATCAAAGTCCTGCAAAGTTTGTGGGTTTGATTGGAGGAAAAAATCAATGTTGTTTGACTCGAGGGAGGTCAATTGTGTCGATTTTGGTATTTTGCTAATTGAATCAGCCTTGACCTTTTGAGCAAAACATAAGACTACGTCTTACGTCGACGTGTTTTTAGCTGAATTTCATTGGTACGAGAATTTTTTTTGTTTTTTAGTTGAATTCATAAATTTTTCCAATTTCTAGTATTTTATATTGCTCGTTCTCTATTTTTCCTAGATTTTCAATTTCACTTGTGCATCTGTTGGTATTTTTTTTTTTTAGATTTAACTAGAAGGGTACTCGCGTAATGCAGCGAGATACATCTTGATTTTAATAGTTTATTTTATTTTTTTATCTCAATCGATGTTATAATATGGTCTTATGTGATTTTGAAAAAGCGATAATGTTTTTATTTTTGAATAAAATATAAATTTGTGTAATTTTTTAATTTTAATTTAATTTAAGTTCAATAACGAAGTAATTTATATTTGGTTTAGTAATATAATTTTTTTATAAAGATAATAGTTAATTATTTTGTTAGAACTCGATAATTATTATAATTATATTTTAGGTTTTTTATATTTTAAAATGTGATGTTTATCCTCATTAGATTATGTTTATCCACAGTTAGTTACATGAATTCAAACATGAAGCTTTAATAAGTTGTACTTATGCATAATTTACTTGTAATCTTGAATTTTAAGTAATATACATCAATATACAGTACTCCATGCATAAAAAATGGGTTTTAAGAATTTTTGTCAAATGTTTTATAATATAGTATAGATAACAAAGTACTTTATTTTTTGTTTAAGTATATAATTTTTTATGATGACAACAATTAAATATTCTGTTAGAACTAAATCACTATCGTAATTATATTTTAGAGCTTTTATATTTAAAATGAGATGTTTATCHTGTATTTGATTATGTTTATCTGCAGTTAGTTATACAAATTAAAAAAATATAGCTTTAATAAGTTGTAGTTACGCACAATTTACTTGTAATCTTGAACTTTAAGTAATATACATCAATAAACAATATCTGATACATAAAAAATGGTTTTTAAAAGTTTTTTGTCAACTACATATAGCTAAAAAAAACCTCAAGGCCTTTTTTGTAATTTCTAGAAATCACATCTTGGCCCGAACCATAAGTAATGTGATACTGACTTATAAATAATTTACAACTGTTTTTTACACATAAAATAATACATATGAAAATATTGTGTTTATATATAATGTTTGTTTCATATGTGAAACTTTCAGAACGATTTTATGTTTGAATAAAAATAGTTTTGAACATTTTATATATAAAACAATATTGTATAAACAGTGTTGTTTCATATATGAAACTAACATTGATTTATAAGTTTATACAAATTATCAGTTTGTAAAAGAGGAATGTGATATATTAAAATAATCGTGTTCTACTAGTTTTATTAATATTGGTATATTAATGAATAATTTGAATTCTTTAATTCATTTAATATATCCATTAAATATTATGTAAAATGTTTAAATAATAACATAACAAAATTAAAAGTACAATATTGTATAGTTGCTATAATAAAATAATTTTGAAATTATAATGCTCTAATAAGAAATGTCACATCAGCTATAGTACATGTAGACACCCTACAGACAGTGATGTGGCAAAAAAACCTGGTATAATGAATAAATTCAAATCAAAAGGTTACTCAATGTTATAATAGGTAAACTTTTCAAAGTGCAATATTSTAATAAAAAATAATTTGAATGTACATTATGTAACAAAATACAATGTTGTAGTAAAAATATTTATAAAAGTATATTGTTATTTCGTGCATTTTGTGTTTTAAATAATTCAAATACGTTTGTATATGGGCTTTCATTTAAATCAGCCCACCAAGCAATTAAATAACTGTGGCCC